GTCCTTGGCTCTTTTTTAACTTGTTTGCATTTTGTTGCTACATTGTAAGAATTCTTTATCTATTTCAGCTATTGTAAGAATTATTTATCTATTTTAGGCTCTTGTAAGACACGAAAATGCTTTGCCATATTCTGTAGATTGTTTTACCTTTTTTTTTTTTTGGTATCTACTTTCGTGTTTCTCCAGGAAAGAAGCTTTTGCTTTTTGCTGTAAACTCTCCGTCCTGATTGTTGCATTCCTAACCTCATTCCTTGAGGCCCTAACTCCAGATGACTAAGTTTTCTCTACCTTGGGTAAGACAGGAAGATTAGAGGGAGAGAGAGTGAGGAATGTTCGCTCCCCAGTTAACGTAAGCCTCTCACAAATTTTTCTCTTTGGACTTTTGGCTTTTTTAGGGAGAAAGTCTGTGTTTCACAATTACTCTTCCACTGCCAGAGCCCTGTGTCTCAGATCATCACCTTGTGAATCTAAGTGGATTCCTGGCACGAGTTGAAATCCAGTCTAGTTGGCAATGGGGGTGTGGAGGAATTCATCAAAACTGTTATCCTCACCATCCACTCAACATTCAACCCCCAGCAATCCAACCAATGAACATTTAAGTTTTCCTACCAGACTCCAGTAGCTTCTGCTCCAAATAAGCAGATCTCAGCTGTGTTTCTTGACAGGCCTGTCTCACCAGATTTCAGTGTTGTGTGTCAGTTCTCAGAAGGGTAAGCTGTATACAAGTCATAGCTGAAAAAGAAAGTCCTGGGTTGTTTGTTTCTGCGGTGCTGGTGATTGAACCTAGGGCCCTGTGTCTGCTAGGTGAGCACACTCTCACTAAGCTACATCCCAGCCCTTTGTATTTTTTATTTTGGGACAGGGTTCTGCTAAGTTGCCCAGCCTAACCTTGAACATGTGACCCCTCATCTTTCAGACTCCCACACAGCTGGCAACTGTACCACCTGGCTCCCACCAAGTTTTTGTTGTTGTTGTTGTTGTTCTTGTTTGGGTACCAGGGACTGAACTCCAGCCCTTGCGCTTTCGAGGCAGGCAGCAGAACCACTGAGTTAAATCCCTGGCCCACACAGCAAGTTTTTGAGTGCTAGAGAGGAATACTGAATGCCAACAAAATTACAAAAATCTTTTAACTGCTCAGTTCAGTTTCAATGCCAGAAGAGACAATTTCAAGATGATTACTTCAGTGTTAATGAAGACATCAGATGTCTTTGTAGCATCATGCAGAAATACAGAACATGGGAAGGCTAGCAAGTACTTTGCACACTTTGCTTTAATTTTTAATAAAAGTTATTTACATTTTATTCATCTACCTAGATTTGTGTTGTTGCCACCAAAATGGTATAATTTTCACTAATACAACTCAAATGAATTTCAGAAAAAATTTTATATTGTTTATGAGTTCTCATCTGGAAGGGCTGAAATAGCCTCATAAGTAAGATTTTTTAAGAGAAAAACATCACAAAAGCAAAAATAAATTCCTCATTCTGATTATTTGCATCTGGGGCTGTGTTATAAAAAAGATAAATTTTACCTCTTTAATAATTTCTGCAATAGTAAATGGATTTATTGCATTTTTATTATTTTAAGATTTTATTTGGTGCTTGAAAATTTATTAGCAGTTTTAGAATTAGAAAATACTTTTGGCAGGTTTAATTGGTTATTTGAGCTGAAAATTTTGCTGATGATGACAAACAGCTTGGCAGGTCATTACAATCCTCACTGTGATTACTTTCATATGAAAACTTTTTAATCTGGAAATTTCTTTACTTTATCCTTTTATATATTACAAGTTGAGGAAATCATGTATCTCTAAGTCTTAGGCATTAGTTTAGGCTGATTTATATTTGACTTTCTCTCTCTCTTTTGGTACCTTGAATTCAGGACCTTGTGCTTACGAGGCAGGTGGCGGAACCACTGAGCTAACTCCCCACCCCCACTTTCTCCTGTTTTTGATATTGTATGAATAACTAGACACTGAAGAAAGCTTCAAATGGACTTTTCCTTAACAGATTCCCAATGTTTTTTAAATTAATCTTAAAATTTATTATATTTCAAGTTCAAATATATACAAATCAAATAAATAAGATCTTGAGTTAAGTATTCTTACAACATGTAAAATAAAAATCAATTATACTAATTACCATAAGAATTGAAAATACTGGGCCAGGGATTTAGCTCAGTGGCACCATGCCTGCCTCCCAAATGCAAGGTCCTGAGTTTCATTCCTGGGACCAAAAAAAAAAAAAAAGGAACTGAAAATACTGAATTTGATAATCTTGCTCAAGAGGCTGAAGCATAAATAATGGTAAATTAGGGTAGGACTGGTAAAATGTCTCCAGACTTGTAAATTAACAATAAAGTGAACTCGATATATGATGAAGAAAAAGTGAACTTCACGTGTATCTGCAAAGAACAGCTGCATTTGCAAGAACAGTTTTCCTGACAAAAGCAAGAGCTGATCATGTCCAAAATTTTGGAAGGTCTGGTGTTCAGGATTGACAGATTTTCGGAAGCAGGAGAGTTTATGGATTGACAGACTTTCACTTGTTAGCGTAGTCACTGGAATAGGCTGCTGTTGACTGTGTACTTTCAGAAAGCTCATCACTGAGCTGAGGCACCTGCCGACTGTTCACTACAAGTATAAGACTGTCATGAACTAGCTATCTTTCACAAGAGGGAGGCACTCACTAACTTGCTAATTTTCAGAAGCATGGCCTCTGTCTCTGATTTTCAGAGAATGTACACTGACTCGGAGATCTAATTATCAGTGATTAGTTGTTTACAACTTGAGGCTTTGGCCAAGAGTGCCAACCCCCACCCCTGCCTTCATTTCCCTTTGCCTACACACAGGTAAGACCATAAATCAGATCTCTCTTTGTAAAGTCAGCCTTTGTTACGACTTGCAAGATTTAAGTGCTAATCGTTGAAACAGAAAAAGAGCACCAGTAGATGGTTTTTCCGTACTAAGGAAAAACTCTGGATACATTTAGGGTGTCCTAGAAAGAAGGCACAGAATAAAGTTGAAATCATTGCATACAGGATGTGTCTGTCTGCAGCCTCCTCTGCAGGTCAGCTGAGCTCCTCACCACTTTACCTACTTACTTTGAGATAAATATGAAAACCTTGTCAAATTTATTCTAATGATTATCTATCTTCTGCTCTGCCCCTGCTTGAGCTTGAACTCTCCTTATCACTGAATTAAAATAGCCCAAATTTCTAGGCATTGGTCTACCTAATCTTCAACTACTTTAAATTCATTCTCTAACATACCGCTGCCAGGACAACTTACCTTTCTTAAAATCAGCTTTAGGAAAAAAGTCTCAGGCTCCTCACCATAGTATATGAGGCCTTTTGTTATTTGGCTTTTTGTCTTCTGCTCAAGCTTTTTCTTCTCCTTTTTTTTTGGGGGGGTATGGGGATCAAAGTCAGTACCTTGCACTTGCGAGGCAGGCGGTGGAACCAGGAACCACTTGAGCTAAATCCCTGGCCCTCAAGCTTTAACATCTATCACTCATTAGCTCATCAGTTCCATACTTTAAGTTTCCCAAATATGACATATTCCACAACTATACTGGCGCATTTGAAATCTCCTGTGTTTGTGAATATTATCTCACCCTCAGAAGAGTTTCTATTAGTCTTGCAAACTGGCTCCAGCATCACTGTCTCTGGAACTTTCTTTGATGACTCCTGACCACTCCTTCATTAGGTCTTTCTTTTCCTTGTGCAAAACTTTACAAGATGCTTGTTCTGAAACATGCTATCCAACTATATTATGTTGAAAACCAAATTTACACATTGTAACACAATACACTACTTACTCATTTGCTAATCACTCAATGCCATTCCCTTCCTCCCAATTCATGGTTTGTTCTTGGTGGTACTAGGAATTGAACCCAGGGCCTTCATACTGAGTTAAATACTACCCATTTTTATTTTCCGGGACAGGGTCTAAGTTGCCCAGGTTGGGCTTGAATTTGCAGTCCTTCGGCTTCAGCCACCCAGTGCTGGGATTTGCCATGTGCAGCTCAATTCATGACATTTTGGATGAAGGCCTGTGCCTTTCTTGAAACCCATGGTGGGCAGTATAGTACCTGTCCCCAAGCTGGAATCAAGAGAACATTTACTGGGCTGGGGCTGTAGCTCAGTGGTGAACTTGCCCCAGCGTAAGCAAGGCCCTGGATTCCATCACTAACACTGTAAGGAAAAAAATTTATGAAATCATAGATGTTTCAGTCCACTTGGTCTGCTATAACAGAATACCCAAGACTGAATAACTTATGAACAGTAGAAAGTTTTTTTCAGCGTTCTGGAGGCTGAGAAGTCCAGGACTTAGGTGCATCTCCTCCTTGTCCTTACCTGACAGAAGGCAGAGCGAGCTACCTTGGGTCTCTTTTATAAGGCACTACTCAGACTTATGAGAACTCTGTGCTTATGACTTAAGCACCTTTCCCCAAAGCCGCATCTCTTAATAACTTGCAGGTTCTTAATACTTTAGTCACCTTGGAGGTTAAGATCCCTCTCTCACTGGGTTTTGAACCACTGAGCTACATTTGCAGCTTCTTCTACATTGAGGGAGTCTCACTAACTTGCTCAGGTTAAACATTCTTCTTGCTTCAGTTTTCTGAGAAGCTGGGATTACAGGTATGTGCCACTGCACCTGGCTGGAGGTTAGGATATTAACATAAGTTTTGAGGGAACATATTTGGACCACAGCAACGTCATCAAGATTCTGCCACAGGTGTCAGATCTGCTAAACTGTGATAGGTCCGTTGTTATAAATTTTTCAAAACCATGTTTGGTAGCTTTCATTGGCAAAGTGAAACAACTGCCTATTTTAGTGTTTAATATATAGATGGCAGCTCATAGGACAAGGGTAGGGATGCTTTCATAATAACTTCAAAGCAATGAAAACATGCCAAGGACAGGAATTGGGTAGATAATTCCCAGTTCAGTTATTAACAGTAAAACAAAGGAATAGACCACATTTAAGTTTTCTCCCATTTTAATGAAATCCATGCACAATATTTGACATTAGATCAGAAAAAGGATAAGCTACAGAGAATGAGAGGTAGTTTACAGCTCATGTTTATATTTTATTTTGGTCCCTTTTCCTCTAAAACGTATAATTTATGTGATTTATCCTTTCCTACATTATTAAAATATTATAAAAATATTTCCAGTGTAGTCGGCTGTTTTTCTAATGAGAAATTCAGAGTGCAACTCCCTATCCACTCAGGTTTTTGATGATCCCATGTATCTAGTGTACAATTCTAACAAGGAAAAACAAACATTTTTATTTTACAAATGCCCAAAGTCAATGTCTTCAGTTATGAATCCATCTCAGCTTATTAAAAAAAAAAGTCCTACAGGTATGAACAATTTCTACCGAATACACAGCTAAGATTTTATCCAAGAGATCTGACAGTTGATGGGAACTGAATGATTATAGGAAAAAATTTTTTTGGCTTATCCATGACACGAGATATGACCTTCAAGTGTGTATTTGACGAGCTTTGGTTTTAGACTTTTACACATGCAAATCTACTTTTTAGGGGTCCTCTTCCATATGAATTTTATAATGATTAGTAAGGGATGACCTGTGATTGAACAGTTTCCCACATGTGTTACACTCATAGGGCTTCTCCCCTGTATGAATTCTCTGATGAGCAATACGTGAGGAACTCTGTCTAAAAGTTTTCCCACATGTATTACATTTGAAGGGTTTCTCTCCTGTATGGATCCTTCGGTGTTGAATAAGAGCTGAACTTTGGCCAAATGACATCCCACATTCTTCACATCGATAAGGTTTCTCTCCAGTATGAATTCTTTGATGATTACTAAGGGATGAGTTACACCTGATGGCCAAATGACATCACATTCTTCACATCGATAAGGTTTCTCTCCAGTATGAATTCTTTGATGATTACTAAGGGATGAGTTACACCTGAATGTTTTCCCACACTCACTACATTTATAGGGTCTTTCGCCAGTATGCATTCTTTGAGATTTTAAAATTTCAGTCCACTTGGTCTGCTATAACAGAATACCCAAGACTGAATAACTTATGAACAGTAGAAAGTTTTTTTCAGCGTTCTGGAGGCTGAGAAGTCCAGGACTTAGGTGCATCTCCTCCTTGTCCTTACCTGACAGAAGGCAGAGCGAGCTACCTTGGGTCTCTTTTATAAGGCACTACTCAGACTTATGAGAACTCTGTGCTTATGACTTAAGCACCTTTCCCCAAAGCCGCATCTCTTAATAACTTGCAGGTTCTTAATACTTTAGTCACCTTGGAGGTTAAGATCCCTCTCTCACTGGGTTTTGAACCACTGAGCTACATTTGCAGCTTCTTCTACATTGAGGGAGTCTCACTAACTTGCTCAGGTTAAACATTCTTCTTGCTTCAGTTTTCTGAGAAGCTGGGATTACAGGTATGTGCCACTGCACCTGGCTGGAGGTTAGGATATTAACATAAGTTTTGAGGGAACATATTTGGACCACAGCAACGTCATCAAGATTCTGCCACAGGTGTCAGATCTGCTAAACTGTGATAGGTCCGTTGTTATAAATTTTTCAAAACCATGTTTGGTAGCTTTCATTGGCAAAGTGAAACAACTGCCTATTTTAGTGTTTAATATATAGATGGCAGCTCATAGGACAAGGGTAGGGATGCTTTCATAATAACTTCAAAGCAATGAAAACATGCCAAGGACAGGAATTGGGTAGATAATTCCCAGTTCAGTTATTAACAGTAAAACAAAGGAATAGACCACATTTAAGTTTTCTCCCATTTTAATGAAATCCATGCACAATATTTGACATTAGATCAGAAAAAGGATAAGCTACAGAGAATGAGAGGTAGTTTACAGCTCATGTTTATATTTTATTTTGGTCCCTTTTCCTCTAAAACGTATAATTTATGTGATTTATCCTTTCCTACATTATTAAAATATTATAAAAATATTTCCAGTGTAGTCGGCTGTTTTTCTAATGAGAAATTCAGAGTGCAACTCCCTATCCACTCAGGTTTTTGATGATCCCATGTATCTAGTGTACAATTCTAACAAGGAAAAACAAACATTTTTATTTTACAAATGCCCAAAGTCAATGTCTTCAGTTATGAATCCATCTCAGCTTATTAAAAAAAAAAGTCCTACAGGTATGAACAATTTCTACCGAATACACAGCTAAGATTTTATCCAAGAGATCTGACAGTTGATGGGAACTGAATGATTATAGGAAAAAATTTTTTTGGCTTATCCATGACACGAGATATGACCTTCAAGTGTGTATTTGACGAGCTTTGGTTTTAGACTTTTACACATGCAAATCTACTTTTTAGGGGTCCTCTTCCATATGAATTTTATAATGATTAGTAAGGGATGACCTGTGATTGAACAGTTTCCCACATGTGTTACACTCATAGGGCTTCTCCCCTGTATGAATTCTCTGATGAGCAATACGTGAGGAACTCTGTCTAAAAGTTTTCCCACATGTATTACATTTGAAGGGTTTCTCTCCTGTATGGATCCTTCGGTGTTGAATAAGAGCTGAACTTTGGCCAAATGACATCCCACATTCTTCACATCGATAAGGTTTCTCTCCAGTATGAATTCTTTGATGATTACTAAGGGATGAGTTACACCTGAATGTTTTCCCACACTCACTACATTTATAGGGTCTTTCGCCAGTATGCATTCTTTGATGTTGAATGAGAGCTGAACTTTGTCTGAAGGCTTTCCCACACACCTTACATTTGCATGGTTTCTCTCCAGTATGAATTCTCTCATGAATAATAAGAGTGGAATGGGAACTTAAGGCTTTGCCACATTCGTTACAATTATAAAACTTCTCTCCAGTATGAATTATTCGATGTCTATTGAGTCGTGAGATGGAAGTGAAGCCTTTTCCACATTCATTACACCTGTAGGGCTTCTCTCCAGTGTGAATTCGTTCATGTTGAATGAGTGATGCACTCTGACTGAAGGCTCTCCCACATTCACTACATTTGAAAGGCTTCTCTCCAGTGTGAATTCTCTGATGATAACGAAGGGATGAGCTGGACTTAAAGGTGTTACCACACTCATTACATAAGTAGGACTTCTTTCTGAGATGAAGTCTCTGACCTCCCGGAAGAGAAGTAGTACAACTGGATGCCTTCCTACCTGGATTATATTTATATGGGTTTTCTCCTGCATGGATTTTCTGATGTATGAAAAGGCCTGACCTTCGGCTGAAGGCTTTACCACATTCCTTACACCTGTAGGATTTCTCTACAGTGTGGGTTCTTAAATGTTTATAAAGGGATGTACTAAGAGTGAAGGCTTTCCCACATTCTTTACATATGTAGGGCTTCTCTCCAGTATGAATTATTTGATGTTGAATAAGGGCTGAACTTTGGCTAAAGGCTTTTGAACATTCCTTACATTTAAATAATTTCTCTCCACTATGGTTTTTCTCATGCTTACGAAGGGATGAAGTGTTAGTGAAAGTTTTGTCACACATATTACATTGATAGCGCTTCTCTGGTGTAATTTTTGGTTGAGCAGGTAAATTTGAATTCTGTTTGAAAATGTTTCCTTGCTTTTCACATTTTGGTGGCGTTTTCTCTCTGGGAAAAACTGACTGTGAGCTGAAGTTTTGGCTGGATTCAGTATTTTTATGGCTTCTTTCTATACTCAAGGATTTTTTGTGGGTAATTGAAACTATCTGAAAACTTTCCTTTTTATCTGGCTTCTTCTGGAATTTGTCTTCATATATATAAAGTTTTTCTGATTTCAAGTCCAAGGGTCCATTCCTTTTGAGGTTTTTCATTATCAGTCCCTGAAATGAAGAGCCTTGTGTTTGAGTTGACTTTGTGGGTTTATGACTGCTCTTCCTTCCTGGGGGGGATTAAAAGTTTTATTGTTATACCACAGAACTTAGCTACTGAGATTAAACATGCATAATGGACAATAACGTTATTGATATAAGGTCTTGATATGTGGAAAAAATATCAAGAGGAAAAATGGGCAGTACATAAAAATAATTGATGAGAGCAAAGGTACTAGGAGTGAAGGAAATAAAACAAACATTTAAAGAGGGTGCGAGGGAAGAGTAAAAGAGGAGCATGAGTTAGGAAATGAAGTCTAGGATCAGAACCCAAAACCCCAATGGACTTCCAAATTAACTTATTGACATTTTTCTTCTCTGCATAATCATTCCTAATCTGGACAGTCTTCCTTCTTCTGTTTCATGCCTTAATTCCTTTGTATCCTTCAGATTCAGTTCAAAAGTTAAGTCTCTGAAGACACACAGATGCACACACACACACACACACACTTTAAACACTTGCAGAAGCTGCCTTCCAGAGTCGTAGAAGGCTGATCAGGGAGGTACGAAAGCAGTTTACATAGGAAGGCATCACTGAATAAACCTACAGAGGTTCCATAAGGCAGGATGAAAAAAATAGTTGCAAGCTGGGAAGGTTGCCAATTCCTGTATCAAGAAAGAGGCTAGCTAGGTAGGGTCCACTGATAAGTCAAAGATCAACAAGAAGATAAGACAGACAGAAATATAAAAAGATAAAGCAGGATTTATATTACAATTAGGTAAGGACACAATTCAGCAAGTATTTTATTAGGAGAATGTTTGGACACATAGTTTGGCATTTTCTCCCGGGCTAGATGTAACTATTGAAAGAGATTTACCGCTTCTTGTGCTTAAGATTCCTATCAATGACATTAACTTCATGACTTCAGTACACATTCCTTCTGCTTAGTGACCATCATTTATTCTGCTTTTCTCTTATCTACTATGCACTTCTCTGTTTCCTTCATGGCTAACTCTTCCTTCTTTAGGAAACCTTATTTCCTAAGGTTTTGATTATTTTTTGAGACAGGGTCTTGCTCTGTAGTTCAGGCTGGCTGTGAACTTGCAGAAACCCTCCTGCCACAGTCTCCTAAGTGCTGGAATCACAGGTGTGTGCCACCATGCCCAGCTCAGCTTTTGAAATTATTTTTTACTCTATACAACTCCACCTTGACTAGTTTTATATGCACCCATATTTTTACTATTTATTGTAAGGGAAAGAGAGGTTCTTTTTTCTCCTTTCTGCTTAACACCTTTGTAGTTCCTTCTCCGCACACTAAATTAAACAATCAAATTTCAATTCATTACATGGGCCAAATGTATTGGGAGTGCTTCCCTCTGTGTATAGCAGTCACTGTTTCTGGGATGGTACATGTTGTGCTGGGAATAAGACTGCAAGATTTTCCAATTTGGATTCTAGCTTGTAAGGTAAAGAAAGGCTGCAGCTCTGACACCAACTCGCCTTTACTAGGGCCCTTATCATCAGGGTCAAGCACATGAATGGAATTTTGTTTCTTATGCATTCCTGTCTCTACCAATTTCCAAACTACTATTCCTGCCTTGAGTCTTCTCCTCTGCCAACACAGTCTCACAGTCAAGTAATCTTTCTAAAATCCACATCTTATGTTACAAACCTGCTGCTCCTGAAGATTGTTCGCTGCCTAAACAAGATAAAAAAATTCAGTATTGGCGGAGGGGAGGGACGCTTCTTTTAAGGCTATACTGCTTTCTGTGATTTTTCTATTTCTGTCTGTGATTAAAAAAAACATTTGGTGCTGGAGATGAACCCAGGGCCTTCACACTGAGCTACATCCCTAGCCCTTTTTATTTTTTGATAGGCTCTCACTAAGTTTCCTGGGCAGGACTCAGCAGTCTTCTGTCTCAACTTCCTAGAGCAAGGATGACAAACCTTTTAGAGCTTGCAAAGAGACGAACAGCCCACTGCAACATGCGTGCCTCTGATAGATCATTAATGATTTATAAATAAGGTCCAGAGTCCTTACCATGGTGAACAAGGCACTGCAGGATCTGACTTTTGTTCCCCTCTGCCCACACCTCCCTCTCCTGCTTTCTTTTCAGGTATTTTAAATTACTTGAAGTTTATAGCATATTCCTTTTTTTTTTTTTTTTCTTGTTTCTTTACCTTTACCTATGCTGGCAACATCTTTTTCCATTCATGGCTATTTACTACTATAGGCCAGGTTAATATTCTGGGGAATGCAGATAATGTGTTCAGTAAGACAAGGTCCTAGCCTTCAGGGAGCTTATGTTTTGGCATCTATGTTGCTTATGCATGTGCTGGGGATGGAGGAGGGATAAGATGACAAGTAACAAGGAAATAAATACAACCTATAAGGGTGTCTGAAGAGCTTTCTAGGAAAAAAAAAAAAAGCCAGCAAACACAAAGGTGTGGCTGATTTCCGAGAATAGCAAAGAGCCTGACTTGGCTGGAGTGCAGTGAACAAAAGGAAACATGGCAGAGCAAGATGAGAGCACTTGGTGGGGACAAACCACCTAAGTAAGGCCTCCTGGGTCTTGCTCTGGAGTCTGAAGTGTCACTCTAAGCACAGGGGAGTAATGGGTTCACTTGAGGTGGCTGGCGTGTACAGATGGGGTAGAGGGACAAAGGGCTGCATCAGGATGCATGTCAAAGGGAGTGCCAATGGGAAGGGAGAGGAAGTTAGAGGCCCCCGCTAGGTGTCAAGTCTGAAAATGAGTGTTGTCAGCAATCCCTGAAGAGGGGAAGACCAGGAAAAGGGCAAGTCTGAAGGGTTACCGTGTTTAAGACATGTTTGTGAGGGCTGAGATGATACTAAAATAGTCAGTTGTACAGATTATTGTATAGATCTGTGGAAAGGTCAGAGATAAAGATGTGCACATGGAGTGCTGGGGATTTAGGTCAGTGGTTCTGCCACCTGCCTTACAAGCACAAGGTCCCAAGTTTGATCCCTAGTACCAGGGGAGAAAAACAAGATATGCACATGGGTCATCAGCACACAGGTTTTATTTAAAGTTGAAAAATTGAATGAAATGTCCTTGGTTATTGAAATACTTGGAAGTTAAGAAGAAAATCTAGACATTATAATGTTCCAGAAGCCAAAGGAGGAAATCACTTCAGGGAGGAGTGGCAAATAACTTGAGGACTAAAAACTTAACCCTGACTGCGGTAAGTTGGAGGTTGTCCGAGACCTAGTAACAGTGCTTTTAGAACAGTAAGGAAGAAAGTCCAACTGCAGTGCATAGAGAAACTATGTGATGTGAGAAAATAGAAACATTAAGCACAAAAAATCTTTCGAAAAGTTTGTTTTGAAGGAGAATTGAGATGTGGGAGTTTTTAATCTGTAACGGAAGTTATTACACCTACAAAAGTCTGTACCTCTTCTGGCAAACTCATCTCAACTGTAGAAGTGCCAATGCATAAGGCTTAAACATGTATTTTCCACTGAAGAGGAAATGAGTCTTGGATTGTAGACATCCTGCTTCTTTTGATCTGCTCAAACTGCAAATAGGTCTCCTGAGCTGCAGTAAAACTCTTGCTCCAAGAACCCAGCACAGGCCTGAGCTGCCTCATGAACAAGGTTAAGACAGGTCAGAAGTTCAGAGCCCAGAATGATTTTGCTAACGACTGCCACCCTAATTAGTTCCCGTCAGCAAATATAGATTCTTTTCCCTGTGCCCCCCCATTGTTTATTGGTACATTTAAAGCAACAGTACAGTTAAATTTATCATTGGGATCCTGTACCTTTACATGATGTAATTTGATTCTTGATTTTTCCCCATATCCATGCCCTTCCTTCCCCCCCTTTACCCGTCCCTATTTACAAAGACTGTTTCCATTTTTTCACATTTTTCTTTTCCCTTATTACCTTTCCCTTCCCCTTCCCACTTTCCCTTTAGCCACTTTCTTCCTACTTCACACTCTCAACTTCCCTCTGCTCTTAACTGCATGCTGAAGAGTGTTTCTTTAAGCTCTTATTTCCCTGGATGATTCTGTCCTCTTCCACACCTCCCATGTAATGACTGGCTTCTTAAAAAAAAAAAAATTTTTTTTTTTTTTTTTTG